AGCAGGTGAATTGTGTTCCAACTACTTAAAATCACTGGCGCGCTTAATCACATCTTGTCTAAATCAAAGTATTTATCAACATTTATACCTGATACTTCGAATATTACAGGTTCGTTCTTGTTGCATTAAAACCCGAATTTCGTTGCCAGCTCTTTCTGGCCGTTTGATCTTCAGTATCGGGCCAGCTGTTGATATAAGTCAGTAGCTTGTTGGAAATACTTTTCGTGACACTCAGAGCGAGTTTCTGAACCGTACAGATCTGACTTGACATTTGTGTTGAACAGAATGCAAATCTCGTTGTTTATGCTGCGGAGCGCAGAAGATTTCTAATCTGATTTCAGGTTGATGAAGGAGTATCTTGCCTTTCCCATTCTGGCCTGCTTTGAAATCTTCATCCGTTCTGACCACTTGTGTTTGAAACCATGCTTCCCAGATAAGTGAAGGAAGTAACATTGATATAAGAATAAAACTTGTGCACTGTGATAGAGTATAATTACATTACGGGTAAAATTTATTTTGATAAAGTCTCACGGGGTTATACAGTAATATTTACTGATGACGTTTCGACAACAATTCGCTTATAATCATATCAAGGTGATATGATACGATTATGAGCAAATTGTGCTCTAAACGTCATCAGTAAATATTACTGTATAACACTGTGAGACTTTATCAAAATAAATTTTACCCATAATGAAGGAAGTAACCTCTATCAAATGTTTCTCGTTGATGGTGATTGGTGCTAGTTGTTGTTGCTGTTGGCTGGTTACCTTCATCACCTGCGTCTTCTCTATGTTCATTCAGAGTCCTGTCTTCGCCAACTAATTCTTCAACCAGTTTGTTGGTTTTCGCCTGCAAGTCTTCGAGTTTATGTGACATTAAACATAAGCAATCTGCGAAATCCAGACCTTCTGGAGTCTTTTCACCGGTGGTTCAGTGTACTCCTGTCTTCTCGCTCCCCACAGTCTGACGCATAATCCAGTCCACCACAATTAAAAATATCATCGGTGATAATAGACAGCCTTGTCTTACTCATGTATTCACTTCGAAAGCCTCGCTGAGTTTCCCGTTGTGGATCACCTGACACGTGGCGTTGTCACATAGCTGTTGAATGAGGTTGAAAAAGACTTGAGTTACGCCGTAGTGTTGAAGCAGTTTCCGAATAATTTCTCGGTCAACGCTGTCGAAGGCCTTCTCGAAGTCAATGAAATTGAGGTAGAGGTTTGACTACCATTCTCTACTGTGTTGGATGGCGATGAGTAGAGTTGCAATTTGATCAGCACATGATTTGCCTTTCCTGAATCCAGCTTGTTCCGGTTGCAGAGTATCTGTATCCAGTGCATCTTTTATTCTTTCCAGGATGATGCCACTTACTATCTTACTTGGCGTGGACAAGAGCATTATTCCACACCGGTTCTTGTACAGCCCTAGTTCCCCTTTCTTAGGCGGCTTGACGAGGCAGCCCCTCTTCCCATCAGTAGGCACCTTTTCTACTTTCCAGACCTTTTGCAATAATGGAATGGGCACATCTGCTGCTGTCTCTGGATCCATTTTCAGTGCTTCCAGAGGAATTCCATCCGGTCCTGCTGCCTTTTCGGCTGGACTTCAGTGGCTTGATCGCATTCAGAATTTCTGCTTTCGTTGGAGGATTGGTGTCCACCAGTAGTTCTGTAAGTGATGTTGGTGGTATTTCTGGGTGAGTTGCCGGTGGTGGTCGACTCAAGAGTCCTTCAAAGTGATCAGCCCTTTGTTTTATTTGTTCCTCCTCCTTGGCAATCTGGTTTCCTTGAGCATATTTTATTGGTTTCAGCACCTGGGTTGATCTCTTCCCGGATAGAGATCTGGTTATTTGATATCATGTCCTGAGATCTCTTTTGCCTGCGGCTTGCTCTGCTTCAGTTGTCGATGTGTCGTAGAATTGTCGTTTGTCTTTCCTAGCACTCTTCTTTACTGCTTTATTCAGTGCAGTGTACATTGAACTAAGCTTCTCCTTCTGTTGTCCATATTTGCATTGAATTATCTTCTCTCTCTCACCATTCTCCTCTCCTCTCTTGTATTAGCTTCCAGGCAGGTGTCCGTTGACAGCCATTCTTCGTCCTGGCTGGTCTCTTCCTTCTTCCTAGAACAGTTGTACACGTCTCCTTAAATATCGCTTTCAGAGATTTTCAATGTTCTTCCACACAGTTTTCCTCAGTGATGCCACGTAGTGTGTCCGACTTTGCTCTGATCTGATCTGTGGTGAACGCATCCCCTGCAGTTTTATCCTTCAGTTTCTGAATATTGAACTTGAATTGTGGTCTGTCTCCAGTTGTTTTCATGGATTTTAGCTTCACCTTGAAGGCTCCTAGAACTAGATGATGGTCTGAGCCCACATCTGCTCCCCCACTCGATTTTGTGTCCAGCAGGCTGAGTCTCCACTTCCTTCAGATTGAGACGAAATCTATCTAGTTTGTGATGTGTTCGTCAGGCGAAACCCATTTCGCTTTGTGTATATCCTTGTGCTCGTACAAGCTACCTCCGATCGCCAAACCATCGAAAACGCAGAAGTCTGTGAATAATTCTCCGTTCTCATTGATTTGTCCGACAGCCTCTCGACCCATGATGAGTTCTCTTTCTGTATTATCAGGTTCCAGTTTGGCGTTCATATCGCCCAAGAGGATTTCACCATTTAGGATGTTGTCCATTAGTGTTTGCAGTTGTCTGCAAAAATCTTCCTTCTTGTCTTGTTCTGCGTTGTTTGTAGGTGCGTAGCATTGAATAATTCTAACCTTCCTTCCTTTTGAGTTGAATCTTGCTGTCATGATCCTGGATGATATTGGTTCCCATTGCATTAGAGCTTTGGCTGCCGCTGGCGACATCATTATAGCCACTTCCTCAGTGTGCTCGTGGTTGTCGCCTGGGTGGCCGGAGTAGATTACTGACTCTCCCGTTGACAATGTTGTCAATCCACATTCATTCCATCTGCTTTCGCAGATACCCAGTACTTCTGAGCCATATCTTCGGATATCCTTGGCAACCTGGGCAGCCAACCAGCCCAGCCAGTCTTGTACATTGTACGAACATGCTACATTCCCATTCTTACTCTTGCTTTCGTCGAGAGAAGACTGACTAACTTGTCAACTAATAAAAGCTAGATCAGGTGACAAGAAAGTTCGAATCCGAGGTCAATAAAAAATGATCAATGCAGATGTAAATCGACTACCTGTCACGAAGATGGCTGCCAGGAGACACAATTAAATCATTCATGGAGAATTCAAATGAGTCAATTTAATGCTAGAACCTGCGCTGTACGGACATTCTAAGTCCCTACTTTTATTCTTGCTTTCATCGAGTGGCTTCCCGAAGGTTTTTACCAGCCCGCACCATTTCACCTATCCGATTCCAGCGAAGAATAAGATCGTTCTTTGAATTTCTTGTATTTTCAATATATTATTGTGCTGAATGAGATTAATTACATGTGTGCTCGATAAGAATTTGATATAATTGATGCGATGCTGTCTAAATTATCAGAGGTACACTTAGGTCGTAACAGTTGTAGCTGTTAAGACCTGTATGTTGATCGAAGCCTGTCCACCAAGTTTGGACTGCTGTCATTGGCTTAACTGATACAACACTATGATGCTTTATATAACATCAAATGATGAGAATGAGTTGTGAAGCGACTTATACCTAAGCACAGGTCTTAATTTCTAAGTGACAAAAATACATTGTTGGTAGATCCAGTGTCAACAAGTCTATGAACAGCTCCCAGTGTTTCTTATAAATTTATTATGAATAGAAGTGGATTACTAATATCTAAGTTGTATAAAATTTGAGCTAATCGGTTCTCGTGTATTATTAGTTTGTGAAATATTATAAGCATTAGTTCTATCTTTGTTAGTAGTCCCCACTTCTGAAATAACTCCGAGGGTTTGGTTTTACTCCATAGAGATTTATAAAAGTTTAATGTTGACGAACCACTAGCATTATATGAATATTTTGTAGTAAAAAGTATCAACAGTTTTAGCACAGCCATATTAACTAGTTAAAGTAATAAAAATACCTATTAACTCATATCGATTTTTCCCAGATATCTAAACGCCAGGTTCCACTTTACATCTTCATGTTAATTTCTTGAATAAATAAATAAAAACACTGAAGAAACAAGCTGATTTTGACGCCACATATCGCGTGTACGTATACCAACTCTGTGTAGCATACAGCACATGTAGACATAGCGTAGTAGCCCTGCATCCTGGAAAACTTTTTGAGGTAATGAAGAATATTTGTAGCTCAATGTGAGTATTGAAAATGCGCAAACAGTTTCAGGTGTTCTCTGAGCTGGCATTTTAGCCAACAAACTTGTATCATCATTAGCATTCTATGACTACCTATGCATAGTTAAGTTGCTTCGTTTTTCTATGAACTTGCACTGATAATGGTGTTTCTTTTGTGATACTAAGATATTTTTGAAAGGAGAGACCAACTTAGTGAAGTCAATGCGAACATATATATATATATATATATATATGAGGCCAGATGCTTGCCAAAGACATTGGCTAGCGGTCGCGCTATGTTGTGAGTTGAGAGAGGTTGGAATTCCTGGGCTGGCCATTGGATTGGGTCCCAGTGGCTTAATGGTCTACGAACTAGCTCGCCTTATAACCAGAAGTTCCGGGGTTCGAATTTCGGTGGGTGCGTACCGATGAAGAGTCCCGAACTAGACTGACGAAATAACTGGCTGTCCAGTACTCCCTGGAGGTCTTTCAATGGTTGTCTAACCAATAACTTTTGGTTCATGATGAAATCCTGAAACTAATCAAATCCCTGGAAACCAGATTTCTTCCGACAGAGATAGTGGAAAAGAATACGAAATGTAAAACGTTGGAAAACATTTAATCCGTATTACTTTTCCATATCCTCAGAAAACTGTCCATTTTTATTTCTTTCTTCCTTTTGGAGTAAAGGAAATAAATATTAAAACTTTTAGTCATCTAAAACTGACACATTGATGTTATCAACGGCGATGGTGATGATGATGGCCAAGAAAGTGTTTGGTTTTATTAATAATAATAATGCTGTTCATTCACAAATACGAGCAGTAAACAAAATGAAAGAAAGAAAGCAAAACTAGTTTAAAAGAATTAATTATTGTATATTCACATTCAACTTAATTATTTGAAAGAGGAGAAGCAGAAAGTAACAGAGAGATAGTTTGAAAATAATATTTCTGTTTTCATCTGCTGCATCTTTTTATGGATAATAGCACCGCAACAAAAGAATAATGCATCACGCATTTTTTAAAATTAGTCATTATTATTATTATGTCGTGATTTGTGCTGTTTCGATAGTGACATGTTATATGTCTATCTTTGTATGTGTTTATATACAACAGAATGAAAGAATACGTATATACTGTGAAGCAGTGAGAAATGTAATAAGTCTTTATTATTATTATTATCGCTATTATACTGTTGTTGTTTTGTTATTATTATTATAGTAGTGGTAGTTTTCTGAATGTACATATCTATCACAGTATAATTAATTATTCATTAATTATGTGAACTGATTACATCATCAACAGTGAAGTGAAGGAGTATGACAAAATAAATTAGACAAGTAATATCTTGTTTATTTGTGTTTGTCTTCCCGTTTTTTTTTGCATTGTTATGGTAATTAGTCCCGAATGTGTGTATGTATGACGAACAGCGCAGCAACTTTCAATAAAGTTGTTTTTAAAAATGCGAAACTGAAGCTGATAGTAAAATATGCACAACTTATACTGATTAACTGACTAACTAACTAGGTGGACTTTGACAGGTTACTTTATTTAAGAGGATCATTAGTACAATGTGATCAACTTCCTTCATATATATATATATATATATCTTCCGATATTCTAGTCTAATATTTTATTTTATTTTGATCTAATAATCCCCACTTGCTAAATGTGATTCAGGGCAAGCAGCATTAGTTGAATCAATCATAGATTTCACTCTGAATAAACTACCTGTTCGTTGATAAGATGAGGAATAAGTGTGAGCATGATGCAACTTTAAGTTTGGTTGAACAGTTGCAATTGATCTGCTTCTTTTTCGAGGTGAAATCTGTTTTTTTATCAAAACAGGAAAAAAATAAGTTAGAGAAAGGCATGAAGAGAAATATTCAATTCCAATTTGGTAAAAGCACTTTACTCTAGGCAGCACAGCTATTGCTTTTAGATAATTCTTGCTATTTAACCTTGTGACAACTGTTTACATAGACACCATCCAAATCTGTGGAAGGAGCAACAAAAGTGGGATAATTCCAGTAATAGTAAATTCCATCGAGCTATTAAAAAAATAATGTAAATACATCAGGTTTGATTTTCTTAATCAGAAGTTAGTTCATCTGCGGAGTAACTATAAACCAATCTGATGCTAACAAATGAGTCAGTACAGCAAAATGATGCAGACTGTGTATACAGACAGTCGCAATGCGACAAGATTACAGTCTTTTAAAGTAACATCCATTTATCTAATATAGTACAATGATGCTGCAAAAGTTATCACCTCCTACTAACTTTATTATCTTACGCAATATTATTACAAACTTCTAAGGGATCCTGAACGATAGTTAGCAACTGAATTTTCAATCAAATAAACCAAATATTTGAGCTGTTATGCGTAAAAGCCATAATAAAGGATACTTCTAAAGTGACGGTAATTAAACTATGATGTATTTATGTACTCTTTTGGATGGAAATGGTAGTGTCTACATAACCGTTTAATTCATGTGTTGCTAGCATTTGGCCACTGCAAATCAATGCATTCTAACTGTCTATCAATTTAGTATAAAGGATGGTCGGTCTGCGTTTTGCCTCAAACGTATTAGGAGGCAACCTATGCCAGTCTTCTCTCTGTGTCATTATAACTCTATAGTAGCCATTTAACCCTTTTTCAGTTATTTACAAAACTTCTGCAGACGTCAGCCTTTCACTTGCTTTGGAATCCTGGAATTCTGTTTGAAATATTCTCAACAATTCATTTCCCTTTCCTTCACAAGCAGAAAACTGATGTAGCCTTCTGGAGGTTGTTTTTGGAACCATCGACAAGAAATGTAGACAGTCATTTACATGTGATGGTTTCACAGAGGATACCACACACAACGCCTAGCTTTATGCTGTTACGACATTAGATCAACTTGATAATGTCACTCTGAAAATCCTAATAACCTCTACACTGTCAAGACTTCTGCTTACACTAGCTATTTGACTGTAATAGCTTGTGGTAAGTGAAAGTTGCCTTTTTCTAGAAATCATGAGAAGTCAAGAGTTCGGTCAAGAAAATTTCGAAATATCATCGATTAGTTTGATCACTTCCAGTACAGATGCCCAAGTTAGCGTCAAACAATACGCTTAAGGCTGTTGGAGCAATTCGAGTTGGCAGTATGATTCATTCGGGATAAAGCTAACTCACAATTTGTCAACTTTTTTATCAGCTAGGATGCAGCCGTGGAAATGATAATTCCTAGTAGTTGCATCACGTGAAACATAGAAATGAATAATCATATAGAGTAATTCTTATATACATTACGTGAAAGCCTACTAGAGAACGGGTATTCACCAAGATTTATCGACAAAAACATGAAGGAAAAGCCTACTTCCTCAAACATTACAACTGTTCCTAAGAAAGATCTCTTCATGAACCTGGAATTCGAAGGTGATATGGAAGCAGAAATTCTTAGAAACCGCCTTTCTAAATGTCTGGAGAAGACATTTCAAGCAGCCGCCTTACGCATAACATTCTCCAGCAGACAATTAATCCAGTCTAACGTTAAGGATAAGATACCGCTTTTGGCCACGTCAGTGTGTATTTATCAGTTTACTTACTTGTTCGTTTGGAGCAAAGTATATCGGCCGTGTGCAACGTCAAGTTCGCAAACGTATTCTGGAAGACTGTCAAATTTGGGTAGCTAGCCAGAGGAGAAAACAAGAATACTAGCAGCTCCATCCTCGAACACCTTGTCAACTCTGGACAACGAGCATCCTCGCATGAATGCTTCACAGTGTTACACAGAGTCCCTCAATATCATACGAAAGGACTTGGAATACGCCGTCAGTACATAGCTGAATCATTGGCTATTCAGGATCTGAAACCGGACGTCTGCATTCAATAGCACCACATACATCCCCTCGCCTTATCGTGGCCAGAGTAACGTCCTCACTATAATTTTGATTCCTTTTATTATGTAAGTGTACTATTATGATTGATATTATGATTTTATTATCATTATTATCCTCATCATCCATATTTTATTGTCACTCTATTACTGTTTATTAATAACATTGCTTTTTCATACAGATTCTATAAAAACACTTCATTGTCTTTCCACTAGTTCTTGGCCATTCTATACAACTGTATTGATTACTCATTTTCTCACACTTATTACGCCATGACAACTTCTGCCCCTTTTCTAATTTCCAACTAGTCACCGCTTCTAGACTACATCCCACATTACGTAATATGTTTTCGAGGTCAAGTTTTACCACTATCTGATTGGTTGTCTTATGAATTCTTTGTTAAATATAATTACGATTGTACAGCAGCTTGTGAAAATGAGTCGTCGAATAGAAAATTCTCTTAGGTGTTTACTTGTGTTTCCTATCACTCAATATGGGAATATTTCGTTCATTTATACATTCTATTTAACGACTTAGAACTCGATTTCCTGGAATTTCCTGGAAAATATTGTCAAATCATTATTCTGGTTTCTGTAGGCAGAAGAATTCTGCAGTTGAATAAATATTGAGGATTACTCATGAATCGGTTAAACATTGAAGCCTGGAATGTGCTGCTATGAAAGAGTTCTAATAACATGCAGAAAGGGTTATATAAGACATGATACCTGTGTCTTTATTCAATTCCAATTCCAGGAAGGTGTTTTGCTCTCCAGGGTACTTTTCAGCCATATAAATGGTTGACAAATGTCAGTGAGAAATTACAAATAAAATAAAATCAACAAGTATTTTCTTAGAAATTCGTACAATACCTTTTAACAGAAAATTTATCAACTTACAGTAGCATATTTGAGTCGAACCAGTAATCTATGTTCACCACTAGATGTGTCATCATCACCGGTACCGAATGACAATCTTTTAGTTAACGATAACAAATCAGGTACTGAGCTTTTCGCTGACAGACTGATTTGATCGAGTCTTGTTTCTGTTGCAGAATGATATGATAATGAACGAGACCGACTGTGAATGGTGGTGGTAGTTGACAGAGATGAAGTGTCACATTTGGTTTTGTCGAAATCAAGTGATAATTCTTGTATAATTCGTGATACAGACTCATTTGATCCTTGTTCATTATAAGATTCGACTTTTGGAGACTGTGGTTGTGAAATAATGTTTGTTGGTAACTGCATAGGAAGAGTCATTTTTATTGGATACGTTTGCAAATCTTTGTCGTTTATGCTAAGGAATCGTCTTGCTCTACGCTCACCTGTAGAAAGTAAAAACAGAAGGTAAGTCAAGAATAGCATATAGATATGTATATGTATAAAGTCTTCCCCCCTGTAAATGTTGATAGTATTCTCCCAAATGAGACTATGCATATTTTGGATATAGTGTTGTCTCTCAACCTACGCGTAGAAAATTCACATTTCTTTCTGATTGCACTAACTAAATGATAATTATAGTTATAGTGCAGAGCCCGCAAATAATACCAAAATCAGATATACTCGTATAACTGGAAGGGGAATAATGTATAGACATTACAGGTGTTAGTAAATATAAATATGTTATAAAGAAGCAAAATTCCTCCGTTCTCATAGACTACGATACAAGTGACATTACAGTTGGAAATTTCTTTAAAATTCGATTTGAATGTAGACTGTGAAGAAATATACGAATTTGTTGTCCAACGAGGGAGGGGTTATCTGAAAAAAATGATATTCTGTAGAACTAATTACTACGACCTGAAAGTATGGAAAAACATAAGCCTCATCAAGCTTCCAGATAGGCATAGCTTACAAGCATCAACCAGTACACGACACGTGCATCAATCAGGAATTCTTTCTGAATAGCTTCTGACGTTTTATAACACTGTGTATAAAAACACAGGATGTATATTGATGACATGAATGACAGAGCAGCAAAGTGAAACTTGTAATCTTAACAACTTAGTTGCGTTATATTAAATGGAAATGTCACGGTTTTTCAGCTTCATACGACACAAATTATCTTCTGGCGCCGACATCACTCGTATATAGATAAAGCGGGCTGGTGGTGACTAGTACGAACAACTTCTTAGTAGTAGTAAAGTATCGCAGTTTTCAAAAAAATTGTACTTTGAATAAAAACAAGCATCTCAAACCCAGTTGAGGATCAATTATATATAAATATATATATGCATATGTAAAGTAAATATAAAGTAAGCACAATGAAATAAGTACAGAACATACACAACGATAATTGTCGGTCTGATTCGTTATTCTCTATATTTTCAGCTCTTGTCTTCATTAAATTAGGATTTGATTCAGATATGATAGACTTCAATGAATATGAATTAGGTATTAACTGAGAGAATAGTACTTGTGAATTGGCTTTCCTAGGCGGTAGTGGTGGTGGAGCGGCTGTCATATTAGTACTAGCGGTTAGAACACCACTGCCGTTAAGATAGTAACGGCCATGTTCATTGGACTGACTGTTTGTTATAGGTATTTTAAGTGGTCGACAAAGTGATGTTCCATTTTGATGACCGAAATTCATACTACCGTTACGCAGATAAACATTTATAGGCTTTTTAGAAGCTTGTTCTGGATAATGAACAGATGAAGTAGGAAGATTATGCTGTAAAAGAACAGATAGTACATCAACTTTAGAAAATTATTTCATAATGGAATTTTCGGTAAACAAAGTACAGATTAAATGAAGTATGATTATATTTCAATGGCTTACACACAATAATAAGTTTTGTTATTGGTAATATTTCGAGCAAAATTACTAATAACAAAACTTATCATTGTGTGTAAACCACTGAAATACAATTATACTTTATTTGGTCTATTCCGCAATGCTCAAACTTTTTGGTGACATAAAGTACAGATTATTAAATTTACGCTTGATATGAATATGTACGAAGTACAGATATAGTGATATAAATCATATCAACTCAGAATATTTTTTTAGTTAACAATGCCAGGATTGAGAGCAGACCTATTCTGCTGACGGGATGAAAAAAGTCAAGAGAGCATGTGAAACAACCACCACGCATGTGGTCCGGGGTTTGATTCCGGGTAGACAGACCTTTATAAACCCAGCTAGGCCAGTAGTAAGTCCGTTAAAATAGAAAGTTTAGGCGTGAGGCTAGGAACCCCACCCCCCCTCCCCAAAAAAACAACCACTCCTACTGAAATTATAAAGTTGAAGCAGGAAGCCATATGTTCCACTGAGAACGTGAATAGATAGAAGCAAATTGAAACAAATGCACATCTACTACTAGAACTAGGGATTGTAATAATTGTATGATAAGATGAAAGGTTAAGCTAAACATTTGAAAATGCGCCAGAGGATGAGAAATGAACTAATACATTGACATTTATTTATTGTTTGACAGGTCAACTGAGTAAAAGAGTTGGGTGGGGATAAAAGCGCTATCGCAGGGTGCTGCTGCACATAGCATAGCAAAAGCCGTAATTCCAGCTGCGTAAAAAAGTCAATAAAAGCCTATAAAATTGATTACAACTGTCCATTAAGTTTTTTTCAAAAGAAGAATATTCTTTTAGCGGGCAAGCACGAAAAATCAAGTTCCTGTGGCAACGGCTAATATAACTCCCCCATCAAAAGCGCAGTTGAATTGGCAGATACAAATGGAACATCTACCAGTGTGGTTATATAAAGGTGAAAGGCATAAGCAGCTCGATATTAGACCCCCTGGTCCAAAACGGCCACAAAGCCAGCATTGAAGAGTCCTTCTCTATCATCTGTCGGATGCCAAATAAATTGCCTAAAACATCCAGGTACCGCATACTCCAAGCAACTGAGGCTATCGCGATTCGCGTGAAACAACCAGTGCTTTGTGTGCAAAATAAGCAAGTCCAGCCACTACTACTGCCCTGGTGGGCCTCCAATAGCGACTATAAATTCATGAATTCTGTATTACTATTACTTTTCCTAATTTGTCTGTCTGATATTCAGTGTATTGTTATTTTGATGCTATCCAACTGTGACTCGTTGATATTACTATTATTGATTCGATGTTATTTAAACCACCTTAATGTTGTTAAATAACACTTATTCATTCACAATGCTGTACGTATATATAATTGTAGAACCTGATGATGAAGTTATCGGAAAGAATATTCTTTGTTCAGTAGCCTTTAAAATTATCAAAAGTATCGTCTGATATGATTACAGCATTCCCCTAAGCCTATAATTACAAAATCAAATAAGATTAACTGTCTGAGGAAGTTCAAAATGTAATTGACCACCATCATTCTATCCATTCAAGCAGGGTGAAACGAAATCTCAGCAAGTTTGTTTCGCTATAACTTATATATACTCATTGAAAAGAGCTCTGCTAAAGACGACCTGATGTGTAAAGGAATAAAAAAAAGTAAAGTAACGCATTCACACCTAATGTAATTATTTAGAAATAATTCTAAAAAGAGTATTACTAAACTAATCAGACTATATGAAGAGGCTTTTTCATACATTTTATTCACGTCAGAAAAAGTTTCAAAACAAATGACGTTTAGTGACTTTTTCAATACACGAAGACTCAATTGTCATCATCACCGGAGAATACCAAAAATAAATCATCCATTAATAAGTTTCGACACTTTATAAATGAAAAAGTGTTTTCATATCAGAATAGAACTTGTGCACTGTGGTGGAGTATAATTCCAGTATGGGTAAAATTTATTTTGATAAAGTCTCACAGCGTTAAACTGTAATATTTACTGATGACGTTTCAAGCACAATTTATTGCTGCTCATAATCATATCAAGGCACTACTCACACAACTTTCTAACTTCGTTTATATAATTCCATTATTTTTCATCGCTTGACTTGATTGGTAGTAGTATTTTCCATATTTCCGGTATGAGTGATGATACATTCCTACTGCACGTGTTGGGTGAAGACTCGATTCAGTAATCAACCTCTGTCTCTCCACCTACCTAGATTATTTCCTAGAATTTTAACCCTCTCCCACCCTATTGTGTGCTTGTATGCTAATGCATGCATGCAGTGCAATTGCCGAGTTTTTCTCTGTATTACTTATCGTTCTAACCTTAGCTAAATTCTTATGTCCCAATAATCAGGCTACCCCTGATCTACTATTTTAATCCATGTAGTTGACTTAACTCACAGTCATTACAAGGTATTTTGTAAATTATATTATTTTGTCTAATTGGGTCAACCGACAGTGTCCTTTAACCTACAGAGCTTATCCTGCCTGAGTGAGTGAGCTTGTAATTTTAAATGCCACTCTAATTCCTTATTTAATAAGAATCCTACGTAGGGTCTCAGATGTCCCCTCCTTATAAGATAGAACTGTAGATGCCTTATATTCTCTCTTATTTATGTTATCATTATCATCTTCCTCATACGACCACTAGTAGATATCAAGAACACCCCTACTCATGAATTATCAAAACACTTAGCTTGTGTCCTGTTAGAAACCGTTCAAACTCTAGGCTAACTAATTCATATGAGATGAAAAATAAACTAAATGACATTCAACTAGAGAATTATGAAACAATGGTTAGTTTTGATGTAACTAGTTTTTTTATACTAGTATATCAATCAATATGGCCTTAGAAGCAGTTAAAAGAGAACTAACTGTAGATCCTGAACTAACTCATAGGACAAAGCTACCAACTGAGGAAATTATTTTAAGAATTCAGTTATGCCTCACATCTACTATCTTTAAATTTCAGGGCAAAATATACAAAACAAGATTTTGAGCGAACAATTGTTTTCGATAACTTCTTCCTCAGGCTCTACAGTTATAAATCCATGAATAATAGAGTATATATAGCCAATAAAGGCAAATGAAAATAATATCAGAAACTGTATTGGGGTGCATGTGTAAGTTGAGATGATAGTCCATTAGTTAACATAGTCAATCAAATGTGTATAGGGTGTATAGTCAGAAAAAATGTGATGAAGTGTGAATGAACAATTGGGTGATATAGTGCTGTTTTATAGTCAACAGAATACAAGTGTCATTGGGGTGAGAGAAATACGATAGACACAAAATACATACAAACACACATTAACAAAGGGGACACTGAATGTGAGGGCTGACCGATAATGTCTAATGATAAAATAAAGAGGCTAAATAGTAAATTGTAATAAGATGTTACAGAGTTGGTAGGCTTAGTGTAAAATCACAAAGGTTGACAAAATTAAGGGTAACAATGAGGTGAAATAAACTGGGTGGAGAAATGGATAATAAAGACATGATATCACAGAATGATAATAATGGTAATAATAATACGGAAAATTATGATCCTGGTGACCTTATAGTGGGCCAGGGTAGACAGAGGGAGTGAATAAGTTTTTTCTGCACACATAAGTCCGGTCTTTGTCTATTAATCTCTAAAGCCTCAGCTATGGCTAGGAGGCGTAATCGTGTGCCTTTGGGGAGATTGTTTGGTACTCGATACACAAATGTAAATGACTCTTCTACTTTGATGCTGTGTTCGCTATCCACTAGATGAGCCAGAATTGCACTATTTAATGGTTTGGTCGCTCTTTTCCCAAGCCAAACCGGGATATGTTCACGAGTGCGTAAAGATAAATTCCTTTGGGTGCGACCTATATAACTAGCTCCACAGGAGCAGTTGAATTTATATACATACATTGATGTCGTCATTTTGGGTAATCTATCTTTAATGCACAGTGTCAATATCGGTTTGATTGAGAAAGTGACATGCAGTTTTGCGGCACTGAAAGTTCTTTCAACTGCTCTCGTTAATCTACGGTTTAATATATCGCTGGATATGTCGCCTTTGAATTGTAAATTTAAGTAAAGCTTTTTCTTACTTACTGTGTCTCGCTTAGTTTTGTGTGTACAGACAAACAGAGGGTATAGCAATGGAATGGATCACCAATATCCCCTATCGTAGCAGATATCTTTATGGACAGCTGGGAAAATATTGTTTTCAATACATTTAATCTTAATCCAAGAATATGGTGAAGATATTTCACTCACAGTGTTGAAAACAGAACATATCTCTAGCTTCTTAACACATATAAACTCACTAGTAAAGGGAATAAAATTCACATTTGAATCGGAAAATGAACAAGGGGAATTAGCTATGTTAGATTGTAAAATAAAACGAAAGGAAGAAGGTAAACTGCACACTAACCAACGCATTCTAATAGATATTTAGACTTTAATTCATCTCATCCGTTATCTATCTGTGAAGGCAGGCTTAGTTAAGTGTCTGTCTAACAATTCGAGCAGCAGTACTGAGTAGTGCAAGAAAAGACCTAAGTGATGAAATAAAACAGATGCCAGAATGCTACTATGAATTTATTAAAATCTAGATTTAAATCATATTAGTCTATGAACAATGAACAATTACTTTATTAGGGTGTCTATTTACTCCACTACCACTACTAACATTGTAAAATGAAATAGCTAAAGAAAACTTATGAACTGACATTTATTCTGATGCTAACCTATTACCAACCCATTTACAATCATTACTTGGACAAATATAGTTTTTATTCAGGTTAGACCATGGATTAATATCAGTAGGAGAACTATTAAAAACCAGGAAGGACTGGAGTACTTCCAATGAATATTTGAAGTTAAATGACAAAATCTATAGGCA